TCTTTTGTTGGTTTTACATTCGTTTCGGACGTTGTCCAATCTGCCATGTATGTATGTATGTAAACTTTTATTTAAAAGCAAAAAGGAAAAAAAACTACGCTAGCCTCTCTAGTACTTCAATAAAAAGAGATTGCCATATTTTCCAGCATACGTTGGGGTTGTTGTGCAATACGACAGATTCCCATGAAATCTGCGAGATGTCCCAAACAAAATCAGTAGCATTAAAGTTTTTAAAATTCCGGACAAGTTTTAATCGTTCTCGACATTTTGGAGAATTAAACTTTCTAACTGCGTATATTAAACTATGATCAGAAATTCCAAGGTGAATCACACCAGATTGTAAAATGTTTTCTGGTTTATTTGTAAAAAACAAATCGATCATGATAGCCGACGTTCTTGTGACCCTTGTTGGTTCGTTAATTAACTGATCAAATTGATACAGCGAGAATGAAAATAACAATTTGCGTGTATTAGGGTCCTGGGGGATCTTAGAAATATCGCAGTTTAAATCTCCCATTATTAATAGCTCATAGTTTTCAAGATCACATTTACTAAGGAATGCTTCAAATGGTGGAAGATCATTAAAATTAGATATGTAATATATGCTTTTTTTAAATCAGATCACAGTTACGATATTTCATGATCAGATCGGATCAGCTCGGATTGCGATTTTTTACGTCGGACCGGTTTTAACAATTATATTTCTGATTAGATCAGATCGGATTTCGTTTATTAGCTTCGGACCGGATTGAATTCGAATTCAGACCGGGATTGGACAAAACTTTGGATTCATAGCTGCCAATCCGATCCGACGCACACCTCTATAGTACGGGTCGACATAACACTGTTCCTGTTTTCTACTTTTTAAAATCTTCCAAACACCGTAGGATTTCTCTGGATATAGCTTCCTCACGTAGAAACAATGCGTCAATATAAAGATCGATGAACCGCAACCCTTTATACATTAGGACAAGACCTATTTTAGCTTTCTTCCTATAATAACACTGGACAAATACATTGGTTATTATAATATTATTATTTTATTGAAACGCTTCACAATTAGCAGCTGAAAGCTAAATTACAATGTAAATTAACAGTTCTATACTTTTAGAATACAAAAAGTTTATATTACAGGTAAATTTGTAATAGAACTATAGCGAACTACTTTATATTTGCAATAATCAAATACAGTGGTATAAATTAATCTACAACTAAGAACTTTTCCCATTAAAAGGGCATGAAAGTATAAAATCAGTCCATTGACAAATTATATTTATCTATGGCAAACAATTGCCTTGTTGCAAACCTGAATGTGCTCCATATTCAAGTACTGATCCAATTACAGATGTATAAAAGCTTTTAAGTAATTAAGAACTTTTAGCAAATATAATAG